ATGTCCCTGCTCATGGCAGGGGGCTTGGAACTAGATGATCTTTCAGGTTTCAACTCAAACCATTCTATGATCTTCCAAATTACCAGCTCCCCTTGCTCCCACTGGGCTGTGCAACTGCCTTGCTATGCTCCACATACTCACTCCAGCTCTGGGCTCTACCCTACAGGCTTAGTGGTTTTGTGATGATCCTTTTTTTTTGTGGTTGGTGACGGTGCTCCTGTTTCCTCTGCAAAGTTCATCTCTGAGCTGGAATCCACAAGGCTGCTGGTGTTGCACATCCTTCCTGCCCATGATGGGCCCAGGCTTGGCCAGCTTCAGCGGATATGGAAAGAGATGAGGGTGGGCAAAACCCTTTGCCTGCTGCCTTCCTTTCCTGGCTGTTGTGGGTTTGCCCTCTGCCTCAGGCTGGAAGGGTGATGCCTCTGGAGGCACTTGGATGTTGCAAGCTCAAGTTGAGGGTATTGCCCTGGGACACACAAAGCACCGTTGTGGGGGAAACGGGAAGGCTCTGACGCCAAAGGCCAGATGCTGGCAAGAACAGTAACGATTGTCCTTAGGGGCTGTCTGACACCAGCCTCTGGTCCTCATCTCCCAAGGCAAGCTCTGCCCTACAGCCTGAGCTCTGCTGTGCAAAAATGCTGCTGCTGCAGCAGCTATACCTGGCCTCAGCCCAACAAGTGGCTTCATTCTGGGTTCAACAGCCTCAGTTTGCAGTGCTTCAGTGGGTCATGCTCTCCACTTTAATTTGAGGCTGCTGTTGGGCTTGTTCTTAACTCTCTGAGCTCTAGAGTCAGAGTGATGTAGTTTCCTTACCTCTAACAAACTCCTTGGCTGCCTGGGGGGGAAGCTAGGCTAGAGGCAAGACCTGGAAGAGCTTGAAAACTAGTGGTGACTGTGGGGAAAGAAACCCCCAAACTGCTTTAACTGCCTGGCAAGAGCAGGAGGTTCAATGTAGGCTGTATGCTGCTTCTCCTCCCCATCGCACTGCTCTGCTCCCATTTCTCCATGCCACACTGCAGGTGCCACCTGACTGCAGTTCCAGGCTCCCTCCCTTAACGCTTCCCTGCATCCTTTCAAAAGCTTGAGTTTCTGTGATGGGTTTGCTGTCTCCCTGCATGCACCTCTACCTGTTGGTCCTGGTCTGGGATGGAGACAGTGCCCAGGGATTGCTCCCAGAGCAGATGTTACTGGATCTGCAACACGCATTTCTCCTCCAAGGAATGTTAATGCCATAATTGTGTGCTTAGCAGTGGGATTCAACAGAAAGTGTTCCTTCATGGCCAGGTCAAATCCCCCTTCACAGCAGCTCTCCCTCCATGTAGCTGAGGCTGTAACCTCGGAAAGACCCATCCATGAACAAAGGGGAGGAATGAGCAAGAGAGCCCAAAGCAGGGCTGTGCACACGTCTGTGCCTGTGTCGGGGTGCAGCATGCTGCTCTGAGGGGCTTCAGCTGCCCTCCTGTACGAGACCACCAAGCCTGTGCCTGAGCCGTGCGGGCGCTGGGGCAGTGCCCTGGTGGCTCTTGCTGACTTAGGGAAGCATCGGGGGAAGCGTCAGAGCTGCCGTTACTCAGCAGGCCCAGAATAATCAAAACCACACACCGGATGCAGCAGCCGTGCTTCCCAACCCACTCCTTACCCCAGCCCCTGGCACTGCCCGCGGGAGGTGGGCGGAGGTGCTGCACCCACCAGTGCCTGCTGGTGGAAACCCTTCTGCAGGAGGGGATGTGTTTCAGTAGGGAAAAGCTTATGCTGACACCAGCTTCCTCTTGACTACTGGGGTTGCACAAGGCAGCCCAGTGTCCCTCCCTGTTCCCACACAAGGAGAGGGGGCTCTGCTCAGAACGTCATGGGTGTGGTTGATCCAGCACAGGAACTCAGCCCCAACCAAACCCGCCAGAGCCAAGTTTAGCAGTGCAGAAAGTGAGTGGCTCGGGTGCTCTGGCAGAGGGACAGGCAGGGGCAGCTCCAGGGTGGTGAGTCACAGCCACTGCTTCCATTGCCCTGGCCTTGGGAGAGCAGTGCTTTTGCCCAGAAAGAGCAGTGGTGACTCTCTGAGGGCACATCTGGAGGCGCTGTGTGCTCAGCCCTGGCTCTGCTGCAGGCACCTGGCGTGGGGCACAAGAAGCAGCTTAGGCTTCAAAAGATTTGAGGCACATTTCCACCACACAGCCACATTCTGCTCTTACATTTCCCACGTCTGGGGCCACCTCTCCTCTGGTGCCACCAGGTCCTTTCTTTCTTCCATCCTTTCATCTCTTTCTTTTCATTGGGAGAGGAAGAGCTCGAGGTTATGTGGACGGGAGGTTATGGTGCCAGCGAGTCTCGGGGCCA